ATAAGTAGTTAATATTATTCATGATAAATCATGTATTTCCTCCGCCATTTTCCGCAGTTTGGCACCTCACGTCACATCATTTTACCAAAGTCAGCCCTATAGCTTCGGCGCAGTGCCGATCACTGACGTTTGTCAACAAAATAGTGCTTGACTCTTGAGACAGGCTAAATTACACCATATTCTAAATGACATTGAGTATACATTTTTTTAAATACCTTCGCGAAGTAAAACTTCTGTACGTAGTACTTATTATTATTCTGTGGCAATACACACTAAGAAATACACCTCTAAGAAATGCCTTTTCGTTGCCAAGTGGCAAGATCTCCTGTCCTCACGCAGGAATCCTGGGTCCGGTTCCTAGTGAGAACAAAATTTTCTGCTCGATTTCGTTGATAATAGGACTTGTTCTAAGCCCGCCTGGCTAGCTACCACCATCGTAGATGAATAGTGGAGGACACCATCATCGTCAACGATCAGGTAAGCAGTTGTAGACAATGAAGCAGCCGATGTGCGGTCCCGGCGGCGAGCAGTGGTCGGGCAAGGGTCAAGGAGCGACCCGTCTGGATGGTGGAGAGCACCATTGCCGCCAACGACCAGGTAATGAAGCACAGGATACCGTCTCGTGGGCTAGTGGCAAGATCTCCTATCTCAGACCAAGGGCTCCTGGATTCGCTTCCTGATGGGGTCCTCCTGACTAGCTACTACCATCGTAAATGAATAGTGGAGGACACCATCATCGTCAACGATCAAGTAAGCGGTTNTATTAATTTCACCAGAAAAACTATTATTTTCCTGAAATAAAAGGAAAACTATTATCTTTTCTGAAAACCTCTGATATCACTTTGTTTTGATAAAATTAGTCATGTAGCTATGACGGGCGCGGATATTATGTATGTAGCGCTAGCGATGAATCACAAATAAAATATTAGCAAGAGTCACAAACTTGAAACATTGCGAATTCGCGGCTGGCGGGGTCGAAAAGAATGCCAGATTTGAGAAATACCTACCTACCAAAACAAGGTTTTTAATCAAGAAGAATTAGTAATCGAACCTCCGGATAATAATGTTTGATTGATTTGTTTTTCCTCCAGACCCAGAGAAAGTGTTTGAAAATGTCGGGTTAATTCGAACTCTGTAAATACCTTGTCTTAGAAACATTATTGTATCACACAATTTGCTCCTAATCAAAACCATATTTCAGTCTGAATATGAAGCAGCCGATGCGCGGTCCGGGCGGCGAGCAGTGGTCGGGCGAGGCCACGCGCAACCAGGGGCTGGCGGTGGAGGAGACGCGCGTGGACGTCACCATCGGCGAGGACACCGGCGCCGCCGACGCCGCCGCCGCGCGCAAGGAGCGGCCCGTCTGGATGGTGGAGAGCACCATCGCCGCCAACGACCAGGTGAGTGAACCGTCTCATGGGCCAGTGGCCAGGTCTCCTATCACAGACCAACGGCTCCTGGATTCGCTTCCCAATGGGGTCCTCCTGACTAGCTACCACCACCGTAGATGAACTAAAGACACCATCATCGTCAGCGATCAGGTAAGCGGTTGTTGACTAATGAAGCAGCCGATGCGGGGTCCCGGCGGCGAGCTGTGGTCGAGCGAGGCGATGTGCAACCAACTGGCGGTAGAGGAGACGCGCGTGGACGTCACCATCGGCGAGGACACCGGCGCCGCCGACGCCGCCGCCGCGCGCAAGGAGCGGCCCGTCTGGATGGTGGAGAGCACCATCGCCGCCAACGACCAGGCAAGCAAAGCTCTAGAAATATGGCCTTTATAGACCCAGGGCGCAGGGATCCGGGTTCGACTGCCAGTGGGAGCAATACCAGGCCTATTCATCTCCGCGAGTTTACATCGAAAACAAAACACGCACGATGGCCCACCTACAGGATACTATTCGACAAGGCCTCACATACGAGCGGACATTGACTCATGCAGTCACGCATGCGTATTCTTGTGTATGATGGAAGAAAATAAAGAAAATGGTGTACTAAATACTGTGCAGTATTTAACTGCCTAAATAATAATAAAAACACAGAATGTACATTTTAAGTTGCCTCAAGACACTGAGAGGTAAATAAGTAGTTAATATTATTCATGATAAATCATGTATTTCCTCCGCCATTTTCCGCAGTTTGGCACCTCACGTCACATCATTTTACCAAAGTCAGCCCTATAGCTTCGGCGCAGTGCCGATCACTGACGTTTGTCAACAAAATAGTGCTTGACTCTTGAGACAGGCTAAATTACACCATATTCTAAATGACATTGAGTATACATTTTTTTAAATACCTTCGCGAAGTAAAACTTCTGTACGTAGTACTTATTATTATTCTGTGGCAATACACACTAAGAAATACACCTCTAAGAAATGCCTTTTCGTTGCCAAGTGGCAAGATCTCCTGTCCTCACGCAGGAATCCTGGGTCCGGTTCCTAGTGAGAACAAAATTTTCTGCTCGATTTCGTTGATAATAGGACTTGTTCTAAGCCCGCCTGGCTAGCTACCACCATCGTAGATGAATAGTGGAGGACACCATCATCGTCAACGATCAGGTAAGCAGTTGTAGACAATGAAGCAGCCGATGTGCGGTCCCGGCGGCGAGCAGTGGTCGGGCAAGGGTCAAGGAGCGACCCGTCTGGATGGTGGAGAGCACCATTGCCGCCAACGACCAGGTAATGAAGCACAAGATACCGTCTCGTGGGCTAGTGGCAAGATCTCCTATCTCAGACCAAGGGCTCCTGGATTCGCTTCCTGATGGGGTCCTCCTGACTAGCTACTACCATCGTAAATGAATAGTGGAGGACACCATCATCGTCAACGATCAAGTAAGCGGTTGCGAAAAGCGATGCGCGATCCCGACGGCGAGCGTCTGGATGGTGGAAAGCACCATTGCAGCCAACGACCAGGTGAGCAGCAGAGCATGATACCGTCTGTCTAGACCCAGGGATCCGGGTTCGACCCTCAGTGGGGGCAATAGATACACTAGGAAATACCACCTCTGTAGGCTCACTAACCGACCACTGCAAGACAACGTCCTGTCTCAGGTCACGAATTCGACTCCAATGGGATCAATTTCCTTTGACATTATTATAACTATTTGTAATTTTATTTACAGGGCGACAGCGTACATTCAACAGACGCCGCTCTTGAGAAGGCCGCAAGCAATGCAAGCAACGTTAAAAGTGCTGGGAAAGAAAAGAACGACGACATCATGTCTGTTCTCTTGGCACATGAAAAACAAACTACAGGTAAACATTTAAAATATTATTTTTTTCCTAAATCTAATGACGTGACGTAATACAGTGTGAGTCACGTTAAAGTGCACATATGAAAATAAATGAAACTAGACCTATTTTTATCGACAAAAAAGAGGTCAAAAAATTTTTGAGATTTTTTTTTTAATTTTTTATAGATTTTTTTTTCTTCCAATTACTTATTGTAAAGAAAACGTGATAACTTTCAAACTAAGCGGTATATCCTGATAAAATAAAAACAGTAATAATGCTAAATAACAGGCAATACTAAAAAAATACATTAAATACAGAAAAAAGGCCTACAAATAATAAAAAATGATAGTTATTGAAAAAAAATTGCTTTTAAATTCGTGTTTTTTTGGCTACTAAGCCTCTCCGGGCGCACCATTCAACGCTTCGTTAACAACGAAACTGAAAATGGCTCTAGATTTGTAATTTTGATAAAGACAAGTTAGATTTCAAATAAAAACAAAAGATTTCGAAGTAAAATAAGCATTTTTAGTAAAAATTAAAATTGTCTCTACCTGTAGCGGAGAATAATGTTGTGGCAGGCCTTTGTTCAAATGATCATTGCAAACATTGTGATAGGGATAGAGACATGCGATTTTTGGTTTTACGAAGGTAATACGATAGAGAATAATACAAAGTAATAAAAACCACCGGTTATAGGGGCATTTTTTAGAGAAATTTATCAAATAACCAAAAAAACACGAATTTAAAAGCATTTTTTTTTTTCAAAAAGTATCATTTTTTATTATTTGTAGGCCTTTTTTGTGTATTTTATGTATTTTTTTAGTATCGCCTGTTATTCAGCATTATTACTGTTTTAATTTTATCAGGATATACCGCTTAGTTTAAAAGTTATTACGTTTTCTTTACAATAAGTAATAGGAAGAAAAAAAATTCGATAAAAAATTTAAAAAAAATCTCAAAAATTTTTTGACCTCTTTTTTGTCGATAAAAATAGGTCTAGTTTCATCTATTTTCATATGTACACTTTAACGTGACTCACACTGTATTATACAACACTTACTTATTTATAACGAAAAAATAAATCTTTGTTTTAGGTACTTCAGCGGCCAACGCGTTGAAAGGCATTGAACAAGATAGTTCAGATTCTAGTGACAATGAATCTAAGGACCCTTACAAACTCAAAGACGAATTAGCTGCTGTTGGTAAGTATCTTCTCAGAAGAGAAAGCTATTTTAGATACTTAATAAGTATCATAATCAGCAGTTACTTACTCATTGTTTACTTCATTTTAGTATGTTTTGTCTTACTGCTATAATTCAATAATAATCTTGTTGTTTTTTCAGCTGAAATGGAAAGTGAAGACTCAGATTCCGATGACAACGCGCCTACGGTGCTGGTAAATGGCAAGGCGGTGCCTATCACCAGCGTCGACGATGACGTCATCGCACAGATGACGCCCACAGAGAAAGAAACTTACATACAGGTATATCAGGAATATTATAGCCATATGTACGATTAAATTACTTCAATAGATAAGGATAAATGTTATGTTAAGAACGTTATTAATAAACGACGCATTAATCGTCCACAGTTGTTTTAGTGTAATAAAAACATATCTACAATACAATTCAACACTTTTATTGAAATAATAAATAATTAACAAAATAAAAGTTCTCTCATTAAAACTATTTAGGTACAACACAATGGCCTTGCCACACACAACTAAAATCCAAATAAGTACGTACATCTTGCAATATTTGGTCAGCTATAAATTACTTAATTTGCTATCTCTTCCATTCAATTAATGGAATCAAACTTATCAAATTAAATGACAATGTGAGCTAATACTGACTTAATATTTTAGCACTTTTACAACTAATATTGCTGGGTCAATTATTACGAAAAGAGTCAGACATTATCTATTTACTTTTAGTCCAAACAAAACAGTGTAGTTAAGAATTTAGTTGAGATGTTTTCCCCACTTCTCCCAGTATTCATCTGTTTGCATTTCCATTATTCTTGAAAGGCACCTGTCACATGCAAATAACTCCTCCTCGCCAGTAAATATAGCAGCATTAGCATCCTCCTATACAAAAAAAGAATAACAAATGAAATTAAAAATGTCTTGACAAAATCCAATAAATAAAAAACCATATTTTAATTTCAATTTGAAAATATTACCGAATCTTTTGTTATTTTCAAGTCATCCATAAGAGCCCTGTCTGCATCACCAACTTCTTTTACTTCCTCTGCTTTAAATAGATCCTTTGGATCACAATCTGCAGCTATAACAACCTGTGAATAAATAATCATGTTATTATTTTTATAACAACATATTCTTTAATATAAATTATGACACAACTTACAATAAATTAGATTGTAATTATTATTGTTTTAACTTACCCGCACCCTGTTGTCATACAGAGTATCAATGAGAGTAATAAATCTTCTCAATTGTGATCTATGTTTTGACAGAAATAGCTGAGGTAATTCCCTTATGAACACAGTGTGGAAAGTTTTTGATATCACAAGATAGTCACTAGCACCAAGAGGCTGAAAGTTAAAATAAAATATGTATTTTGAAGCAAATGACAAATATTAAGACAGTGAAATTGAGTTCCACTCTGTGTTAAACATCAAAGTTTTTGATAATGTGCCATTATGCTTATGTAATCACTAATAATAATATCAGTTCAATATCAATTTGCTGACAAAGCTTTTATATTATTTATTCTGACCAAAGATAAATTTTAGTAACTTCTAAAATTAAACTCACTCTATCACATATTTCCTCAAAAGTAGTGTCCAAAACTCTTCCACAAGATTTTGAAAACTTGACGTTCCTTCCCATTATATTTATAACTCTAACTCTTACAGTATCATTCTCCTTTGATATCAGGAACTTGAATAAGTTGTCTACTACATTATTTTCAGGGGTCAATTCACTGTTCCTAAAAACATATTATGACAAAATACACTCAGCGGCACGGAATTTGGCCCAAGCCTAAACAACCAGATATGAGGCCAAATAGGTATTGTATACCTAAGTTTCGTGTGACATGTTAACAGAATATTTGTTTTTGTTAATTTAAGAGGCTAGATTTATAAAAAAAATGGGTCTGTTTAACTTTTTTGACTCTAGAAACGCATTTCGTTGTTGGAGCGTAAAGAGTACGGGTAAGTTTAAATTCGATATTAAATGTTGTAAGGGTTTAGCGTTTTGTTTTTTGTTTTTAAATTAATCTTAGGGTTATTCTCGTTTCCATAATTTGAGAATAATGCCCATTACTCCAGCTCAAGTTGCTCATATAGTGTCGCTTAGAAGTCAAGGGCGTATGCAGCGGGAGATGGCTGAAACTTTCAATTTATGGCGTACAAAGTTAAGATACACGTAACAAAGGCATAACCAGACATCCATTTACACAAAAAGACCAAGAAGTGGGGAATTAAGGTGTAAATCAGCGCGCGATGACCAGAATATTCTGCTTGCAATATCAAGAAATCGGGTTCTCACCACGTTTGAGATACGCCAGCGTTTACAAACAGCAAGCCCAGTGAATGTCAGTCAGCACACAATAAGAAGAAGGATGGAGGATCATAACCTGCATACTCGAAGACCAGCTCGAGGACCAGAACTTCTCCGATACCTTAGCGAAGTGCGACTTACGTTTTCTAGAGAACATGCAAATTGGACGCAAGGCTAATGGAGTAAAGTTCTATGGATCGATGATTGCAGAGTCACCTTAAGAGCTCCAGACGGCCGTGAAAGTTTATAGAGAAGGTGCGGAGAAGAGTTACTACGCAAACAGACAGTTTTCATAAAGAGTTTGCTTCATAAGTCTAACGTCCAATTTGCATGTTCTCTAGAAAACATAAGTCGCACTTCGCGAAGGTATCGGAGAAGTTCTGGTCCTCGAGCTGGTCTTCGAGTATGCAGGTTATAATCCTCCATCCTTCTTCTTATTGTGTGCTCACTGACATTCACTGGGCTTGCTGTTTGTAAACGCTGGCGTATCTCAAACGTAGTGAGAACCCGATTTCTTGATATTGCAAGCACTATAATCGGGTCATCGCGCGCTGATTTACACCTTAATTCCCCACTTCTTGGTCTTCTTGTGTAAAAGGCGGTCTGGTCATGCCTTTTTAACGTGTATCTTAAGTTTGTACGCCATAAATTGAAAGGTTCACCCATCTCCCGCTGCATACGCACTTGACTTCTAAGCAACACTATTTGAGCAACTTGAGCTGGAGTAGTGGGCATTATTCTCAAATTATGGAAATGAGAATAACCTAAGATTAATTTAAAAACAAAAAATTAAACGCTAAACCCTTACAACATTTAATATCGAATTTAAACTTACCCGTACTCTTTACGCTCCAACAACGAAATGCGTTTCTAGAGTCAAAAAAGCTAAACAGACGCATCTTTTTTATAAATCTAGCCTCTTAAATTAACAAAAACAAATGTTCTGTTAACATGTCACACGAAACTTAGGTATACAACACCTATTTGGCCTCATATCTGGGTGTTTAGGCTTGGGCCAAATTCCGTGCCACTGAGTGTATATAACTTTATATAATTTACTACTTAAAAATTAATATTTGCATCTACTTACAGGAAATATTTACTATATTTGCTACCCATTCCTCTTAATCTATAATCAATTCCAGAGTCTAGCTGGATTACATCACAATGAGACTTGAGGATCGGAATAAACGGCAGAAAATTTGATCTCTGTAATCCATTCTTGTACAAGTCATCAGGTTTGCGGTTACTGGTAGCTATGACAACACAACCATTATCAAATAATTGTGTAAACAATCTCTTCAAAATCATAGCATCACCAATATCAGTTACCTGCAAGAAAAAATATGACATCAAAATAAATATAAGTACAACTTAGCAATACTTACTTATTATTAAATCAGTATGTTGAATACTTACTTGAAACTCATCAAAACAAATGAGCCATGATTCTTGTGTGATATCTGCTGCCACGGGGGGTATGGGATCAAATGGCTTGGAACCTTCATCTCTGAAAGAGCTAGCTCCTTTACCAGATTTGATTTTAAGCTCATGAATTCGAGCATGAATATTCAGCATAAAAGAGTTAAAATGTACTCTTAACTTTTCTTTTATCTAAAACAACAGAATATGTAAAGAACTTTGTAAAATATTTTTCCACTGCTATTTCCTCTGAAATTATGGACTTACAGGCACTGTCTCGTAAAATAAATCCATCAGCATCGTTTTTCCTCCACCAACGCTGCCATAAATATAAAGACCTTTAGGTGCAATAATTTTCTGAGGTTCACTTTTTTTGAAGAAATTAAACAGTGAACTACTAGTCCGGTTCTGTAACACTGGTCTTTCGAATGCTGCTACTTCTTGATAAATCTGTTGAAGCTGGTGAACCACTTTTTCCTGATGCTCATCTCTGCTTAGGATGCCATTTGAGATCTTGTCAGAGTATATTTGCCAAGGACCTTCAGATGCCAACGGTTGACGCTCTGCTTGTGATGAAAATAATCTTGCATGACGATTAATATACTTCCAATTGCACTTCAAAACTGAGGAAATGTGAAAGCATTCCCTTGGCGCGATCATTTTCTTGTCAGCTGATTGAATGTTTCAAGGAAATTGTTAACATTATATAACCTACAAATTTATTTAAATTAACATTGAAAAGCTGATATGTTCACCACATTTTAATGACTTTTCAGTAACAACGGAACTATTGCATTAGTATTATGTTTTCGTAAAGTAAAAAATAGCTGAGTGCAAATCATACTCTCTAATCTGTGGTGCAAATCCCCATCCCAACTTTTTGTCAAAACCCTGACGCATAGAGAAAAGTAATCCCTGACGTCATTCATAAGTCAATGTCAGTCATCTGTCATTTCGACATTAACATTTTTTATGGCTGTGTTTTATGTAGTGGCATAGAAACTATTTTATAAATCCTAGTTTTGAGAAAAATATTGTAACTGTCATAGCTTGATCTTTCTGCTTTATGCCTAGACGCAGAGATGTGCGCACATTCTTCTATGCACATTCCTAAATCTCCATACTGATTTATCAGCCCGACCCAACTATCGCCAACTAAAAGTCGGTGGTCTGCGCCTAGGCTAAATTCTAAATCATACTAGGTAAAATTCTACGTGCTCACCATAGAGTTATTAACAACTCTATGGTGCTCACGCACCAGGCTTTACCTATACTAAACTACAGTCTGAAACTTAAAAAGTGTTTAAAGTCCGTGGTCTGTGGCCAGAGCCCCGATTACGGTAACTTTTAACGTCTACAATCCAGACGCGTTTCTGATTCTGCGATACGATTGGTCAAAACAGCTGACGTACGCTGTTGAACGACCAATCGTATCGCAGAATCGAGAAGCGTGTCTGATTTGTTGTCGTCAAAAATTACCGTAATCGGGGCTCTGTTGGCGCGGAGTCATAAGCGGCGGAACCCATTAATGACTGCGTTTAACTTGCAATACAAAAATGCATATACCTACATCAAAAGGGCAAAAAGAGTAAAAATGAGCTCGCTCATCAAATCAATACTCCCGAACTCTTTCTCGGTAGAAAAGCAATCCTATTTCATGTATTAGATACATAAAGACCGCTCCGCCAGACATCCCTAGATCAAAAGTCCGGTAAGTAACCAGATTTTCGATATCTTGTATAGTTTAGAAATAATCGAGTGAGATCACTTATCGTTTCCACCTTGTAAATAGAATATTATTAATACATAGAGTACGTGATTCGGTATCGGTACTAATGTAATTAATAAATGAATAAAATAAAAGTAAAGGTTAACTAAGAGAAAATACCATAGGCATAAAGTTTTCCTTTTGTATCTTAATTTGATAGTATTTTAGTTAACGGATGATACTTTAGACCTCATCGTGACATAAAATCAGGTGAGATTGGGGTAAAACGCTGACTCATAACAAAAGGTGATACCTAAATGATAAATTATCATAGGAAATTACAACAATACTTACATGTAGGTAGGTAGGTACGCCTATGGCTCTTGCTATCAAATTTTCGTGCTCATCATACTAACCTTTGCACCCAAGGGGTTCGGATCCCGTTGAAATGCGTAAGTACTAAGTAGGTAGGGTACTAAATGCAACCAGTAAAATCTAGCTAGGGTTCTAGCTTCTAGCCCGCTACTCTTAAGAACTGTAAGCCCTTGACGATCGACTTTTTTGATAATTAGTTAAAGTAGCTATTAGGTCCTTACGCAATTTCACAAAACCAAAAAATGTTGCACATGTAGATTTCTATAAGACACGACGTAGGTAGGTGTGTTTCGTTGAACCCGAGGACAAAAAGGTGACTTAAAAAACTGCCCCTCCTCTCCTCAATATATCTCGAGAAAGCAGGATGCGGTCAAATTGAAATCGACGTCCTCACTGCATTGATGCAAAGTAACTGCTTATTGCAATCAACAATCACGCATTATCATGACATCCTCTTTTTCGTCGCCAAGATTTTACTAAGGGTTGCTACTCGTCACAAGTTTGAGAAATTCACAAATAAATAATATTACTTGGACACTTTTACACTGACCATCTAGTCCCAAATTAAACAAAGCCTGAACTATGGGTAGGTACCACCAACGGATATAAACATACTTTTGTACTTTTTTGGAAATACATACATATTATACTCGTAGATAGAAAAAACCCAGACCAATACAAACGATTTCGATAGCCGAACGGTGAAGGGGTCGGACTGGCCGACTCGAGATCCGAGGAACGCGGGTTCGAATCCCACCGCCCGACTATTATAATGGACAACACGCATAAGTTGTAATATTAAGTTAAATTATGACTTAATTTAAAGTTTAGATCACACACATTACACTAGTTTTTATTTCACCNTTCGTAATTGATTGCTCAAGACAAAACGATAGTTTGAAAACTGGGCCGGTAGATGTGCGAATAGAATTTGAATGCTCAGACTATTTGCCGGCTGATACTACAGCATACTGTTTAATTATTAACGATCGTCTGATTGAATACAAGCCTCTGAGTAAAATTGTTCGAAAATTATCATGAAGATTATAGTAGATGTGCAAGGTTTTAAAACAGATGATAATAAGTTTATCCTGAAGGAAATTGCCATCTTAAACAAAAGTCAAGTACATGTTGTTCTTATAAAACCCCCGTTTCCATATTACAACTTAACCAAAACAGAGAGGAGACAAGTTAGTTGGATTGAGAGAAACAGAGCTGTTTACTGGAAAGAGGGTTTCATGCCGTACCCTCATCATGAAGATCATATCATGGAACTGTTGTCAAACAAAGAAGTTTATACTAAGGGANAGATAATATCTTACATGCAGCTTTTCATGTTACTACGTCACATTTTCAAAATCCGCGCGGAAAATCGCTCCTAGCGGAAGAGCGCACTTTGAGCTTGAATATTTCAGTCATTTTTAAAGATATCAAAAAAGTAAAAATACAGTATTCATTCTAATTTTTTGTAGTATTTTTTGGCATCTTCAACAAAAATTGTCGTAACACAAGCATAATATTTAGCTTACCACGAGGGGCTAACGGGAGTGTTAGTAATTTATGCAAAAACAAATTATTAATAAGTATAAGACGAGCGGAAATCGAACCTGCGATTCTTGGCTTAATAGTCCGGTACGCAAACCAAACGCCGAAATGATTAGGATTTTCAAAATACATAAGTAGTCTGCGTCAATAGAATTTAGCAATAAATGAGATACAAATCTATTGTAAGTAACTCAATTTGTAACTGGGATTGCTGTTAATAGGTAGGCACTAGTCGTTCTTTTTTACATTAAAGGCAGCTTTACTATTATTTTCACAGCAGAGCTAATAATATAGGTGTGAGTCATAGAGTACATAGCCAAGCATTTTAATGTAAGGGTTGTGTCTGTGTAGACTTAGCGACTCTTTGTACGGCCGAAGAGGTTATCAGTGTGTATTTTTAATTATTTACATCTGTGTGTATGTGCAACGTACAATAATCATAATAGTAAAATTATAACACAAAGACTTTTAACACAACTTTCCCTTGTTATTATATAAACGTAATAATCGCAGTAGCGTGAACCGTTGGCATTACGTAGTAGCCAACATTAATGAAAAAATTAGGCGATGATCGTGAATCTAACTTCTTTTGGCACTAACTATTTGGTAGAAAGTGAAGCAGACCATGATGACTTTAACCAACTATTAAATTCATGCATGTTTCCTTTCCGGATCCAGTTCCAATTCTCATATTTGAAATTGCAAGAATTAAGTACCAAAAATTTCCTAGAATCTCCTGAAAGGTTCAAAAGAAAATCTGTGGCCATTGTTTTCACACTCCTTGCGCGAATTACAATTTTGTACAGTTGCAGAAGGAGGCCACATAAATAAACAACCCTGTATAAAAGCAGAATCAACAGAGGAGCGCCTCGACGCGTCTCCGGTCGTTTAATTTACAACTTACTCGTTTTTTTGCGAGTCTCTGCTGTCTCCTGGAAATCCGTCGCGACGTTTTACAGATGTGCTATTTTGAACCACTAAAGTAATGGAGGTTGTAACAAAATCTTTGTTCATTTCAACTCGACTCCCGTATACGCGTTTAAATTACTCCGAACTCTTTGAATATAAATAGACCGAAACACACGTAGACGATGTCTGGACTTTGGAAAAAGCGAAAAGTGTTTATACTTATGCCCGTCTAGATTTTAAATAACGCTAACCTCGTTTTTTATTCGTTGTACCCACCTGCTGAACTCTATCTACCATCGATCTTGTTTTTAAATAACTGGAAAAATCGATTTGAGACAGTGAGAGTGAGAGCAGTCGCCCGGCAAACGAAAGGTCGTGGCACGGGAACCCGATGCCTATAAATCTTGAATCATTCCAAATCAATCTCACTAGATGGCGACATAAGTATCGAATTTCTGAAGACGTTTGTAAAAAGTCACTAATGCTTAGTAAACTTTAATGAAAAAATGTTTTACACATTAATTTGTTCATTTAAACACAGTGAATGATTCAAATACACGAAATTTCTATAAATAATAAAATTTTATCTTTAGTAAAAACAGAAGTCATAAGCAATAGTTTTTGAAGCGCTGTTGATTTAGCATTTAGTTACAAATGATGTAATAGATGGCGCTCATCAATGCTGTTTTGTTTCTACACTTATAAAAATACAAAATTTTGTAAATATTTATTATTTTTATTAATTTTAATTTCTTGTAAAAAACAATACTTCTACATTTAAATAAAAATGAAAAAAACACAATTTAGTATTAAAAAAGTTTGACTGCATTCATCATTCATATTATTTTGCCGGATAAATTATTGCTATATCCATTTCATTCTCGCATAACGTAATGCGTACGGGAAAGAAAAGGCTAGCCAGTAGTATAATGAAGCATAGATTGAGAGATCACCTTTCTCTATGGAGATCACTTTTAAAGTTTTGACTTTTGAACCATGTCAATAGTTCAAAACTTTGTTTTACGACTTCGAGTTTCTCAGTTCGAGTTGGCGATTCCTAGTTTTTGTGATTTTTATTTTGTGACCTGGACTGAAATTGGACTTCGATTGGGCTTTCTTTCTTGATTTACTTTGGCTACGTATCTGGACTCCGACACTGCTGATTTTCTTATCGACCTTTGGCGTACCCGTACCGGAATTTGACCTCGGCTCGCACGAAGACCTGGCTCGTGAAAAGGATTTCAGACAAAATGCCTCCGAATAAGTGCTCCTATTTTAGGTGTACAAATACTTCAGA